GTAGTGTTCCCAATGCATTTGTGTGTATGGAAATAAAAGCTATCAGAAGGATTTTGAGCTTTATTCACTTTTTTCAACACACTGCTATTATTTTGAACACAACTGTATATGTATGTCATTTACCTCTGGACTATCTGCAGGTCATAGCTAATTCATTACATGTGTGGCATTATTGTAGGATGGCAGTTTTCATCATGCATGAGGGCTGAAGAAGGTGAGACCAATATTTTCATCTAACAATCTTATGACTTTTAATTCCAGCCATATATTATGTGTATCTAACACCGTCTGAGTTCCAGAAACAGTTGTGTGAAATCCAACTGGTGCAAATTTTATAATTGATACCGCAATTATTGCTGCAATTGGAGTACTTACTATACCCTGCATTCCCTGGTTGGGTTCTGCTATGGGGGGAATGTCCTGACCTGCCTCCATTCAACTATATTTACATGAGCTCATGTACAGCTATATTTTTGGACAAGTGTCATCATCCAGTTCTTCACTATATTCAATCTATAGGTGGCCTGAGAACTACTCTATTTGTGGTACCATTATGGACACATGCATCCAATTTTTCTCTTTCCTGTTGCCTAAATTATGATTGTGCAATAATCACTTTTTTCTAAAAGGCTAGATATACAGGATATGGTCCAATTAGTTTTATCTGTGTCCTTCATTACTATATGTAATATTTTCTCATGGCTTTTCTTTTCTTATATTACATCCTATAGTGCATGAACTTTATCCTCCTCATAGGCCTTGTGTCAACCCCACAGTGTCGGGACTCCTTGGCGCATGGCGGCATCCCGGATGACCACGTCATTTCCATCCTTTATCTGTCTCTGTTGGTGGTGGTGAGGTCTTCTTTTTCTCTTATTTGTTGTATTTTTATGTCTGCTCATTATGCTGCAATAAATGGTTGCTATTGGTTTTTCATTAAGCCACTTTTTGTCCTCATTTGGACCCCTTTGACCTGAGGGCCCTTTCCCCTTGGTCTCCTCACCTTTTTCTTATGCTGCTTTAGGTTCTGAGGACACCACATAGTCATTTATATGTGAGCCGGCTATATTTATTATTGGGGGGTAACTATATTTAGAACACCTTTTGATTCTTATTTATTTTTCAGCCAAGAGTATCCCAGTTTTTATCTTTATTACACTGTACTAATGGCACTGGGCAGGATGGGAATAACATCTGGGGAGATCAAAGGGTTAACTGTGTGCTGTTTTACTATGTAGACAAGCTGCTTTGTATTGCTGTGTTGTTTACATACAGACCTCTCTTGTCAGCTCCGCCAATAATCAGAGTCCCAAGCGAAGACCTGGTGATTGGGATGCCAAGGAGTCAATAGCAGGGCGGGTAGGGAGCACGTGCATCCCCTACCAGGAACTGCAAAATCACATATATACAAAGCCTTGATAAAGTATTCATACCCCTTGAAATTTTCTACATTTTGTCGTCATGTTACACCAAAAACGTAAATGTATTTTATTGGGATTTTATGTGATAGACCAACACAAAGTGGCACATAATTGCGCAGTGGAAGGAAAATGATAAATGGTTTTCAACATTTTTTACAAATAAATATCTGAAAGATGTGGCATGCATTTGTATTCAGCTCCCTTTACTCCGATACCCCTAACTAAAATCTATTGGAACCAATTGCCTTTAGAAGTCACCTAATTAGTAAATATAGTCCACTTGTGTGTCATTTAATAACATTTTCTGTTAAGTCCTCAGAGGTTTGTTAGAAAACATTGGTGAACAAACAGCGTCATGAAGGCCAAGGAACACACCAGACAGGTAAGGGATAAAGCTGTGGAGATGTTTAAAGCAGGGTTAGGTTACAAAAACAAAAAAATCCCAAGCTTTGAACTTCTCATGGAGCACTGTTCAATCCATTATCCAAAAATGGAAAACCAGTATGGCACAACTGCAAACCTACCGAGACACGGCCGTCCACCTAAACTGACAGGCAGGGCAAGAAGAGCATTAATCAGAGAAGCATCCAAGAGGCCCATGGTAACTCTGGAGGAACTAGAGAGATGCACAGCTCAGCTGGGAGAATCTGTCCATAGAACAATTATTAGTCATGCACTCCACAAATCTGGCCTTTATGAAAGAGTGGCAAGAAAGCCATTGTTGAAAGAGGGCCATAAGAACTCCCGTTTGCATGTCAACCCGAATACATCATCCCCACCGTGAAACATGGCAAAAAATTAATATTCTAGATGTGCAAAGCTGGTAGAGACATACCCAAAAAGACTTGCAGCTGTAATTGCAGCGAAAGGAGGTTCTACAAAGTATTGACTCAGGGGGGCTGAATACAAATGCATGACACACTTTTTCAGATATTTATTTGTAAAAAACTTTGAAAATCATTTATCATTTTCCTTCCACTTCACAATTATGTGCCACTTTGTGTTGGTCTATCACATAAAATGTTATGTTTTATGTTTTTGGATGTAACATGACAAAAATGTGGAAAATTTCAACCGGTATATTATTTCAAGGTACTGTATATGTGATTTTGAACATCTCTGCCGCCCTGCAGCAGTACTTCTGCTATAGGGAAGTCAGGAAGCAGTTAATCACCAGTTTTTGGGGGGTTTTTTTTGCTAAATAAATGAAAAAGAAAAAAAAAAAAAAAAAAAAAAAGATCTTTTCTTCTTTTCGCTTATAAATTTTACAAATAAATAATTTTTCTTCAAAAATGTAAATCAAAATGTATTCTGCTACATTTCTTTGATAAAAATAACCTAAATCAATGTATATTATTTAGTCTGTAAAAAAAGTTAGAGTCCACAAACTATGAGATGTCAATTTTTAGATATCAGTCCTGATGCCCATTTCTTGAGGTCTGAAAATGCAAGGACAGTACAAATACCCTCCAAATGACCCCTTTTTGGAAAGCAGACAGTTCAAGGTATTTAGCAAGAGGCATGGCAAATTTTTGGAAGTATTTTTTTTTGTCACAATTTTTTCTAAAATGAGTAATTATGAAAATAAATTCACAATTTTTTTTTTTAACATTCTACCATTAGTGCAGTACAGCATCATCATATAAGTGTTGCGGTGGTGATAAGGGACACTGAATGATGGCAGTATGCATTAAGGAAATAATAGTAATAATTTAACATTTTTTGCAATTTTTTTTCACCACACAGTGACCACAGAAATATACAGTGTTACTGTAGTAAAGCTGTACCACTCTGGGGAGGTGATCACAATTTTTCTTCTATGGACTATGATTGCTTATAAATAGTGATAATCACTGTCATAAGCAATAATTTTTTTTATTAATGAAATACATTCATCCAGTGTGTACTATTGTGATTAGCGAAAACGATCACATGGTAGATGCACTATGATTGGCCCTGTCTGTAGCATGTGATCATTGTGACCAATCACAGAGATCAACACAATAGTACACAATGAATGGAAGCCATTTATATTGTGTACATCTGCCATTTAACCACTTGCCTACCAGGCACTTATACCCCCTTATTTACCAGGCCAATTTTCAGCTTTCAGTGCTGCCGCACTTTGATTGACAATTGCTCGGTCATGCAACATTGTACCCATATGAAATTTTGATCATTTTTTTCTCACAAATAGCGCTTTCTTTTCGTGGTATTTAATCGCCACTGGGCGCTTTACTTTTTGCGCTAAAAATAAAAAAATTTGAAAAAAAAAAAAAAAGTTTCTTTGTTTCTATTATAAAATTTTTCAAACAGGTATTTTTTCTCCTTCACTGATGTGCGTTGATGAGGCAGCACTGATGGGCACTGATAGGCAGCACTAAAGGGCACTGATAGGCAGCACTAATGAGGTGGCACGAATAGGCATCACTGATAAGGTGTCACGGATAGGCGGCACTGACTGGCATCACTGCTGGGCACTGACTGGCACAACCCCTGGGCACTGACTGGTGGCACTGACTGGCAGCACTGCTGGGCTGCACTGGTGGGCGGCACTGGTGGGCGGCACTGCAGAGTGGCACAGGTGGGTGCACTGCTGGGCACAGGTGGGCAGAGCTAGTGGGTGCACTGCTGGGCACAGGTGGGCAGAACTTGCGGGCGGCACTGCTGGGCACCGATCATCAGGGCACTGATCATCAGTGCCCTGATGAGTGGTGCTAATCCCCGCTCTGACAACTGCCGGTTCTCGGCAGTACTTTCCTCACGATCTGACAGCGTGAGGAAAGTGCAGCCGAGAACCGGCACTTGCATTTCCCTCTGATCAGCGTGTCATTGGACACCGCTGATCACGTGGTAAAAGGCCGCTGTGATTGGCCTTTTACCACATCATGTGATCAGCTGTGTCCGTAGGACACAGCTATCACGGAGATCGGCGGGTGCGCACCCCCTGGGGCGCGCAGGAGAGCGCGTTCTGGGAGGACGTCATACCCAGAACTGGCCGGCCGCAGTGCAGCCGTCATTCGGCTATCTGCGGTCGGCTACTAGTTAATGTACTGTGATTGGTCACAGCAATCACATGGTACCAGCAGCAGCCTGGTACACTGATCTGTCTACCCGTGTCCGGTGGGCACTGCAGGTGACACATCCCAGTACAAAGCAGCCTGTGGGGCGGGATCCTGTGAGGACGTCATATTACATCCACACAGGATAGCAGCGCTCCCGTTAAAAAGCTATAGGCCGGGCGGGAGGCAGTTAATGTCACAATAAATTTACAAGGAGCATTGCACTTCTGAATGGCTGCATTTCTCCTTTTTAATTTCTTGATGATGCTGCTGTGCAATACAGAAGCAGTAATCAATAAATAAAACTGCAGGGTTTGTCAGTTCAAAAAAACAGTTTGGCCCACACTTTAGCCTTGTAACATCTCAAAATGTAAAATCTTCTGGAAGAGTCTATTTATGCATAACAACAGAGCATTGATATAAAAAAATATTCTTTGCAAAATAACTTTCATTGAAAGTGTATCCATAGTAATATTCTACTCTTCTTTCAGGTTTTTCAGGTGGCTTCTCATCATCATCAGCCCCACTCCAAGTCCTCTGACACACTCCAATCTGCAGGTGTGGGGGGATGGAGTGATGGTGGCAGTTCACAAAGTGGTGGCCAGCCTGGTGGCAGATGGTAGATGGGACCTTCTGATGCAGAGGCACTGCGAAGAGAAAAAAAGTCAGTTGTGAGATCTTTTAATCTCACAAGCACCTAAGTGAGATGCATCGGACACACTACAATAGTTCATTTTGACAGATTTCTAGGAGTCAGGGCACATTGGTTTCTGTCTTGCCAAACAAGAACACCTGCTGAGCTGTTCATAATTATACATACACCAAAAAATCTTTTATTATACATCAGCGGAGACCTAGAAGACAATTGGTGTCCCAAGTTCAAAATGATGCACCAAATTTAAGCCAATACAACTTTTCCATCATTCACTTATGGCAAATGGGTTTAGTTTAAACTATTGATATAACATTGTTACTCAGCTGAAATCTAACATGGAACTTTGGGTAAAGTTAGTGTGCAAGTAATGTGTCTGCAGACAACGTCAGAAAAATAAAAGCTATTTCTCTGTACAAAAGTCAACAAATTAGAATATGCACGGTTTATCTAATTTTACCGATTCCCAACTGAGCTGTTCAGCACAGTCACAGTATTCAATAAATCTACATGACACCTCGCTTCCCGACCCTGTATTTCTTAGGCAGGCACAGCTCTCTATTTACTGTGACTGATGAAAGCAGGGCTTTATCAAGAATGTGCGTTAACTGACTCTGCTGTTAATTGAAATGATGCAGCAGGAACCTTTTCACCAAGGGGCAGTGTTAAACAACTACTATTTGTTTAATCAGAATTTAAAGCAGACTTTTCATTCTTATTGTTAATAAAGCTCAAACCACCAGTCTTCGCTGCAACAAAAGATGATCTAATGAAAACAGCCTTTATTGTATAATCCTCTGGCTGGCTGTATTTCAGGAAAGGGACTGGTCTGTCTGGAAAGGAGTCAATGAAAGAACTTAGCACAGCAGATAAATGGACTCCCATGAGACTTAGGGAATAGACTAGCTCAAGTTTAATGACATTCCTATTTTGTCCTGTACCACGCTAACAATTAACATTTTTTTTTTTTTAACCCAAGACCATCCATAGAGCTACAGTAATGATCACAGTTGCATGCATCATTCAACTGCTCTTAGACACCATAATTCAGTGGTGGGTCAAAAAAAAAAAAAAAAAAAAGTTCTTTTCTGCTAACCACCTGTTTATTTGAATGGCAAATTGAAGGGAAGGAAGATGAGAAGTACTGGCTTATCTTATAGGGACCAATCATAATTGGCACAGGTTGACCAAATTCTTCTTTAGCCAGTGGTTGTCTGGGTCAGGTGTTTCTCTCAATATATGGGTATGCGTATCTTACGATTTGTTTCAACATTCTTTATCTCTATAGCAATGCAAATTACCTTAGCATTTGAAATAGCCACAATGAACAAAAACAGCAACAGAAATAATGCATAATTAATTCCAGACAAATTGAAAATATCACCATTTAAATTTGGTTAGATGAGCCTTAAAAATAATGGTTAGTCTGAAGAATTAAAAACAGATATATTTCAAAAGTAACTCATTGCAGTTAGATTTTACCAGTAGCAACCCAACTGGTAATTGAACTCTTGCTGGATTTCCTTTAGTATCCAGCAATGGGTTACTGAAATTTCACATAGCCATTGCTAATGCTTTACCGAGAAGTCCAGATAATGCTTATGTACATTAATATTTAGTGCCAAATCATATATAGGAAGTCCCCATATAGTCCATTCAGAAAAGTCCATATATCAATGATCCTCAGTAAATGAAGTAATGAGTTCCTCCTTCACCAATGTGATATCCAGTGCACAGAACACCCCATCAAAAAACGCACACTCCCCATGTGTTGGTGATAAACCAGCATATCAATTTATATCCAGCATTCCACCAAACAGGCTCCAACTTAGGGAAATCCTTGTGATTAGACCTACATGTTAGTATAGGTCAGATGTGCTGTTTTGAATACTAGTTGCCCATCAAACGCTAAGTCATTAGTGGCTACTTCATCCAACGATATCCTCACTCTAATCTCCCCTTGAGACTCCAAAAGTGAGATGTAACTCCTCCATGCTGCTCTTGATTCCTTCACATGTGTGTTGTTCTGTGTTCACCTATCTAATGACTTGGAGTTTGATGGGCAACTAGTATTCAAAACAGCACATCTGACCTATACTAACATGTAGGTCTAATCACAAAGATTTCCCTAAGTTGGAGCCGGTTTAGTGGAATGCTGGATATAAATTGATATGCTGGTTCATCACCAGCACATGGTGAGTGTGCATTTTGATGGGGTGTTCTGTGCACTGGATATCACATTGGTAAAGGAGGAACTCATTACTTCATTTACGGAGGATCATTGATATATGGACTTTTCTGAATGGACTATATGGGGACTTCCTATATTTGATTTAGCACTGAATATTTTTGCACATATATGGTGGTGGACATATTAATTTATTTATTTGGTTTAGGATTGAGCTATTTGTGGTTATTTGGTTTATCACATTTATTATTATAACCATGGCGCCTCCTGCATGGAGTCTGCATGTTCTCCCTGTGCTTGCGTGGGTTTCCTCTGGGTACTCCGGTTTCCTCCCACATTCCAAAGACATGCTGGAAGGTTAATTGGCTCCTGACTAAATTGGCCCGAATATATGTGTATGTATGAATGTGAATTAGGGAATTTAGATTGTTCACCCCTTGAGGGTTAGGGACTGATGTGAATGTACAATATATATGTAAAAGCGCTGTGTAAATTGACAGCGCTATAGAAGTACCTGAAATAATAATAATTTACAGTGTATTATTAATAGCAGCACCTAATGTTTTATACTCATTATCTAATTATATTGGCGCGATGATGTTGGTTTAAGAAATGTCTTGAGTGTTATACTCATAAAACATATTTAGGTGACTGACCTAATTGGTAATGCTTGTGTACAGATGCTGACAAGTGTGCATCCTTTTTCAGTGTTTCATCAGCACCCTCTGCTGGACTCACCTTTCACTGCGTGAGCTCTCTCTCTTCGCTCTCTCTTTAAGCCAAGCATCAACCCTGCAAGGTGGGATCTGTCTGTTCTGCTCCTCCTTCAGCTTCCTCTCTGCTATAAAGGGAATATATTATTGAAAAAAAGTATCTAGTTTAAATTAAACAGTAAATATCTTCATTAACATTTGTGCATTATTGTTAGCAGTGAAAACATAAATATAATTGAATGGATTTTCTTTAAAATAGAAAAAAAAAAAAAAAAAAAAAAAAAAAAGCACTGTCGAACCTGCTTAAAACACTTTTAAAAATGCTATAGCCGGGCATTTTGAAATTCTTGTGTCACCTGAGAACATTATTAAAAGTTGATCTTCAGGTAAATATGAATGAAGCTGATGCAGCTCTGTATCAAATCATTTTTATTATGTAGCCAATGCAAGTACCTGAATTAACTGTATAAACCTTTTGTGTTCCATAAAAATCTACACTCAGACTGGGCAGGGAGGGGGAAGGACTGGAAGCCAGTTAGCAGTGTTGCATGCAAATGTACTGACAAGTAACATGCTAACACAGGGATGACAGTAGAGTGAACAGAGGGATGACCTCCTTAGTCTGCTGCTCTGTCACTGTCTAGTCAGAAAGTTGGGGGTACAGAATGGAAACCATTTTAGTCCTTTAGACCTATCACTAGAGTCCTCTACCTGGCTGTGCTGTGTAAACCTCAGGACTGTATGGATACAATTTGGCAGTTAAAACAGATCTCTAATATGTATTTTGTCTGTGTAAAATTTTTATCCCTTCCATTATGCTAATTGAATTACGTTTTACTGCCAATGCACATGCATATTAAAAGAGGAGCTCCACCTCAAAAAAAAAAATAAAGTTTTTGTAGCTGCTGATTCTTAAAATAAAGACACTTACCTGTCCCTCGGTCCAGCGGTGTCCTCACCACCTCTGGTTTCACCGGATGTCTTCTCTCCCTGGCTCTGGCATATTTAGTGTGGGCACCCGACGGTGACAGCTTGTGGGGGAAGACAACGTCCACTTCTGATCACCTAGGCGATCACAGCAGAAGTAGAATCGGGTACCTGTCAAATTAGGGTACCCCCCAAAAGGTGCCAGTCCTTAAAGGCTTAAAGCAGAACTTCCCATTTTGGGTGGAACTCCGCTTTGAGTTGTCCAAAAATAATGTATAATGTAAAAAATAAAATGTATTACCTTAAAATAATTAAGTTATGTGGTTTCTTACCTTCCACTTTAGCCTTTAGTGCATCCAAATCCTGAACACTCATGTGTGAAAATCGGCAGGAAGGACCAAAGTCACACTGGCCTACAAAAAAAGAAAAAAGGGGTTCACACTGTAAATCTAAATAGGAGTTCAGAATGTCCTAGAATGTAATCCAGCAATCCTTTGATTTTATTTATGAGCAGTAAAAGAAGAAAGCTACAATGGTCTCAAGAGCAAACATGTAACACACTCTGGCATGGAGGAGCTCAGCTATGAGGAAATATAAGAGGAACTGAATTTATTCTCTTGAGAAGAGACAATTATACAATACATGTCGGTCATATCCCCCCTTAAATACATCAGTGGTTCATATAGTGAACTCTGTGTAGAGTTATTCACCCTGAGGTCATCACAGAGGACAAGGGCGCACTCTATGTCTGGAGGAAAAGAGATTTGATCTTCAAATACGAAAAGGTTTCTTCACAGTAAGAGCTGTGAAAATGTAGAATAGACTCTCAAGAGTTGGTTCTGGACAGCTCAGTGGATTGCTTTAAAAAAGGCCTGGATTCTTTCCTAGATACACAGAATATAACTGGATACTAACATTTATAGGTAAAGTTGATCCAGGGAATATACGATTGCCTCTCAGGGAATCAGGAAGGAATATTTTCCCCTGCAGGAACAAATTGGGTCATGCTTTGTTAGTTATTTTTGCCTTCCTCTGGATCAACTGTGGGTATATTATTATTATTATTACACAGCATTTATATAGTGCCAACAGTTTGCTCAGCGCTGTACATTACAATGGGAGGCAATACATGAGATAATACAGTAACAATACAATAAAATACACGAGGGGTTCGAGGGCCTTGCTCCTTGGAGCTTACAATCTAGGAGGGACGGGAGAGTGGTACAGGAGGAAATAGCTGTGGGGGATGGCGTGGTGGGGAGAGCGGAGGAGATCAGCAGTTAGGTGAGGGCGGGGTAGGCTTCTCTGAAGAGATGGGTTTTCAGGGTGCACCTAAAGGTGAGGAGGGTAGGTGACAGTCTGATGGATTGGGGTAGTGAGTTCCAGAGGATGGGGGAAGCCCTGGAGAAGTCCTGAAGACGGGCATGGGAAGAGGAGACAAGGGAGCTGGAGAGTAGGAGGTCTTGTGAGGAGCGGAGAGTGCGTTTTGGGTGGTAGATGGATTTCAGGTCGGTGATGTAGTTTGGGGCAGTGTTATGAACAGCTTTGTACGTCAGTGTTAGTATTTTGAATTTTATGTGTTGGGCAATCGGAAGCCAGTGGAGGGATTGGCAGAGGGGGGTGGCGGATATGGAGCGGTTGGTAAGGTAGATGAGTCTGGCCGCAGAATTCAGGATAGACTGAAACGGAGATAGCCTGTGTTGGGGTAGGCCGGCGAGGAGGGAGTTGCAGTAGTCAAGTCGTGATATGATAAGGGAGTGAATGAGTTGCTTTGTGGTTTCTGGAGTTAGGAACGGGTGTATTTTGGAGATGTTGCGGAGGTGGAGTCTGCATGAATTTGTCAGCGATTGGATCTGGGGCTGGAAAGACAGATTGGAGTCTAGAATGACACCTAGTACTCTGGCTTGCATGGTGGGGCTGATGGTAGCGTTGTTGGTCGTGATGGAGAGGTTGGGGGGGGGAGGCGAGGGGTAGAGAGATAGATTTGAGTGTCATCGGCATAGAGATGATAGTTGAAGCCGTGGGAGTGTATCCGTTGACCAAGGGAGGAGGTGTAGATGGAGAAGAGAAGGGGCCCGAGGACAGAACCTTCGGGGACCCCAACAGAGAGGGGGAGGTGGTAGCGTTATAGGTAACACTGAAGGAGCGTTGTGATAGATGGGAAGAGAGCCAGGAGAGAGCGGAGTCTCTGAGGTCGAAGGAGTATAGTCTGGAGGAGGAGGGGGTGGTCGACCGTGTCGAAAGCCGCGGAGAGGTCGAGGAGTAGTAGCACCGAGTAGTGGCCATTGACTTTGGCGGTTAGCAGGTCGTTGGTGAGTTTGAGTAGGGCGGTTTCGGTGGAGTGTAGGGGACGGAAGCCAGAATGTAGGGGATCAAGGAGGTTATTGTCGGTGAGGTGGGAGATTAGGCGATTATAAGCTAAGCGCTCAAGGAGTTTGGATGAAAATAGGAATATAACTTTCTTTTATGGTTGAACTAGATGGAGTTTTGTCTTTTTTCAGCCAGACTAACTATGTAACTATGGTTAGGAATCATATTCAAGGGCCACCACATACCTTAACAGTGCCAAGCTGTCTCCTCCAACATAATAAAGCTCCCCAAAGCTGCTATGCAAATAGCTTTTCTGAAAATCCCTATTTCCAAAGGGCCAAGGAAGTAACAATGAGTGACAATGGCCAGGACTGGCCTCTAGCCACTGCATAAACACATATATCCGGTTATTGCCAGTTTAGATCTTCTTCAAAATACATCAGTAAAAAACTGTATGGCAACAAAATTACTGTTTTTGCCAAGGTTCCTACCACTTTTGGACCCCAACCACTTTTCACAGACTGAGATAAAAACACAACTTACATAGTAACTAGGGATGCACCGAAATGTCGGTGGCCGAAACAATTCGGCCGAAAACACCCATTTTGGCCTTAGGCCGAAATGGGGAAAAAAAAAGCACTGATACAGGTGTCGAAAAAAACCCTGCCTCTCGCCCGCTGTCGCAGCCACCGGCTGTAGTTCTCAGCCTTACCTGAGAAACCTTCGAACAATCCCGGCGCTGGGCATAGAGATTAGAGAAGGAAAGATGGCCTCCACTCATCTCTATGCCCTTGGAGGACCGGAGCGATGTCACTTTTGGTTCTGGCCATTTTTCATTTTTTTCTAAAGCACTAGATCAATGCTTTTTTTTTTGATCCAATGCTTAACATTGCAGATAAGAGATGTGGGGTCTAACTGACCCCATATCTCTCCATAAAGAGGACCTGTCACTAATTATTTCTATCACAAGGGATGCATGCATTTCTTGCAATAAGAATAAAATTGATTACAATTTTTTTTTAAAGGGACAGTGCAAAAAAAAAAAAAAAAAAAACATTAACCAATTTAAAAACAAAAAAAGTTTAAAGCGCCCTCTGTCCTTGCACATAGTGGTGAATGCATATGTAGGCCACGTCCACATATGTAAATGGTGTTCAAACCACACATGTGAGGTATCGCCACATACGTCAGAGCAAGAGCAATAATTCTCGCACTAGACCTCCTCTGTAACTTTGCACTGCTAACATGTAGAAAGTTTTAAAGCATCACCCATGGAATTTTTTAAGTACCACGGTTTTACGCCATTCCACGAGCATGCACAATTTTAAAGCGTAACATGTTGTGTAACATCCTCTTTCATATTTTACAAAAAATTGGGGTATATATTTTTTTTTTTTGTTTTTTTTTATCCGTGTATTTTTTTCCAAAAAATAAATATTAATTTTTAAAAACATCGCATTTTGGTTTCGGTTTTCGGCCAAGTGCATTTTGAATTTTCTGTTTCGGCACCATTTCGGTGCACCACTAATAGTAACTCCATGTCACGGAGTGCCCGTGCCTTCCCCACCCACCTTTGCCTGCTGGTACTCAGCCATATCCTTCCACCCCTCCCCCCCCCTTGCACATTCCTCTGTCCTTGTAGCTTCCATGAATGGTGCTGGGCCGGCCGTTGCAACCCGGCAGCGTCCCGCGCGGCTTTTAAAAAGACTGGCACAGCCCTTCTCTTTGTTCCTGTGCACGCTGCTGGAATCATCTATCTCCCTGAAAGCCGCTGGGAAACTCGGGTGGGGGGGGACCAAGCCTCCGCAGCCATCCCCGCCGCACACTCTGCAGAACCCCAAAGGTTTAGGACTGTAGCCCTCTGCAATACTCCAGGGTTGAGAGTAGCCACTGCCCTCCGCTGAATGTCCCAGGGTGGGAGTCTCCGCAGCTCTGCATGAGCCTCCTCCTCAAAAGGTCAGACCCACACCTGAGACCCCCCCAAGCTAAGGGGAGACCACCTGACCCTACCCGAGACCCTCCAGCTGAGGGAACACTGCCTGCCAGCTACCTGAGACCCCCCAAGCTAACGGGAGACCGCCTGACCCAACTGAGACCCTCCAGCTGAGGGATGAGTTGCCCGCCTGCCCGAGACCCCTGCCCAGGGGTAGGTTGCCCGCCTGCTGCCCGAGACCCCTGCCCAGGGGTAGGTTGCCCGCCTGCTGCCCGAGACCCCTGCCCAGGGGTAGGTTGCCCGCCTGCGCCCGAGACCCCTGCCCAGGGGTAGGTTGCCCGCCTGCTGCCCGAGACCCCTGCCCAGGGGTAGGTTGCCCGCCTGCTGCCCGGACCCCTGCCCAGGGGTAGGTTGCCCGCCTGCTGCCCGAGACCCCTGCCCAGGGGTAGGTTGCCCGCCTTGACCCCTGCCCTGCCCGCCTGCTGCCCGAGACCCCTGCCCAGGGGTAGGTTGCCCGCCTGCTGCCCGAGACCCCTGCCCAGGGGTAGGTTGCCCGCCTGCTGCCCGAGACCCCTGCCCAGGGGTAGGTTGCCCGCCTGCTGCCCGAGACCCCTGCCCAGGGGTAGGTTGCCCGCCTGCTGCCCGAGACCCCTGCCCAGGGGTAGGTTGCCCGCCTGCTGCCCGAGACCCCAGACCAGGGGTAGGTTGCCCGCCTGCTGCCCGAGACCCCAGACCAGGGGTAGGTTGCCCGCCTGCTGCCCGAGACCCCAGACCAGGGGTAGGTTGCCCGCCTGCTGCCCGAGACCCCAGACCAGGGGTAGGTTGCCCGCCTGCTGCCCGAGACCCCAGACCAGGGGTAGGTTGCCCGCCTGTTGCCCGATCCCCGGTCCGCTGTGCAGTCACGGAGGGAGCCCAGCTGAGGCGGGACCCTCGTGACAAATGCCTGCCTGTTGCCCGAGACCCCAGTCCAGAGGTAGGTTGCCGCCTGTTGCCCGAGACCCCAGACCAGGGGTAGGTTGCCCGAGACCCCAGACCAGGGGTAGGTTGCCCAAAGCCCCGGTCTGCTGTGCAGTCACGGAGGGAGCCCAGCTGAGGCGGAGCCCTCGTGACGAACGCCTGCCTGTTGCCAGAGACCCCAGTCCAGGGGTAGGTTACCGCCTGTTGCCCGAGACCCCTGTCCAGGAGTAGGTTGCCGCCTGTTGCCCGAGACCCCTGTCCAGGGGTGGATCGCCTGCCTGTTGCCGAAGACCTCAGCCTAGAGGGGAGATTGTTCGCTTGCTGCCGAAGACCCCAGTCCAAAGGGGGGAGAAGACCGCACATGCCAGCCTGCCTACGCTTCCGTCACACTCCGCTTTTGTTGAGGGAAAAAAACAAAAACACAATTCCATCTGCGTGATCAATGTACATTACAATTATTTTAACAAAGCTTTGTTTCTGCTGTAAAGCAGTTTGTTTGTCTATGTCAATGAGCACAGGGAATCTGAATGGGAGTGACTTTTTCATCATTAATCACCTGATGCACTTGCAGTGTTCTAGTGAGGAAAATGCAGAGTCTGAATTCCTTTAAAACTGATTAATCCTTTTGGAATATCTCACCAAAAATGGCATTTTTGTTGCAAAGGATGCCTAAAATCTGATATATATCTTAGTGCAGACTTCTAGAAAAACAGTGAGACAATCACACAAGCAGGAAATTACATTTCTGGGGACATTCTGTGCACCAACTTGTACAGAAGACCTCCAGGTTGCCATATTGGATTCTTCCAAAAATTACAGTTCTGAAGATTAAATGAATGATAACATTCAATTACAATACGGCTTATATAGCAACTGTATAAGCATTATTATTTGCTTATTTTCCCCACAAAAGTAGTTATCCTTTGAGCTGGTCTTATATATACAGATATCTCTATCTTCTCCAGCTCTTTCATTCATTGCTTTATTGCTCAATCCACACTAAACAGCATGAATGGAGAAATCTCTCCTGCTGGCTACTGTAGCCAAGCATTTGCAACTGTCTGAATAACCGAACTGTGATTGCACCTGATAGAATATAGTTACTGTTCAGCCAAGAAGTTACCACCCAGCTCAATCAATTTTTCAATGAACCTTGAATCAGGGCCACCCACAGCTCGAAATTAAGCCAATTACTGCTGCAATTGTAATAGCTGTTTTCAGTTAAGTTTAGTATTTAACTGCTTTCCTGCCACCCTATAGTAGAACTACTGCTACAGGGTGGCAGAGCTGTACAAAATAAAGCGTATATATGTGATTTGCATTTCTGGGTAGGGACAAGTGTGCGCGCCGCCCTACCCGTGCCGCCATTGGCAGCTAGGGATGTCAGTCACCGGACCCTGGCTGGAGATTCCCTGCCGGCACCCAGCTATTGTCAGGCAAAGCTAACAGAGGAGAGACCTGTGTTTACACACAGGTGTCTCTCCTGCCAGCAAGGACATGCTGCTGTGTATTTCTCTGCACAGCAGAGAAATACACAGCAGCAGGTCTCCCTAGTAAAACACACACAGCACATCAACTAAAACAGCACACTGTTGTACCTTTGATCGCCCCAGATGTTATCCCCTTCCTGCCCAGTGTCATTACTACAGTGCCAGTGCTTTTTATTAGCACTGATCACTGGGATGTCAGTGGCAGTTAGTCAGTTGCCCCCCAGTTTCAGAATGCCCACCGCAGTCCCGCTATAAGTTGCTGATCGCCGCCATTACTAGTATTAAAAAAAATAAATAAAAATTCCAGTATATACACAGCCATTTGTAGATGCTATAACTTTCATGTAAACCAATTAATTTACACATATTAGGAATTTTTTATTGGATGTTTTATAGCAAAAAGTCAAAAATATTGCGTTGGGGTTTTTTTTTTCAAACTTAACTGTCTGTCTTTTGTTTATAGTGCAAAAAAAAAAAAAAAAAAAAAAATGAACAGGCGATCAAATACCACCAAAAGAAAGAACTATTTGTGGGGGGGGGGGGGAAGACATAAATCTCACTTATGTAAGGCATTGCATGACCGCACAATTGTCAGTTAAAGTACCCAGTACCGTATCGCAAAAAAATGGCCTGGTCAGGATGGGGGAGGGGGGTAAATCCTCTGGAGGGCAAGTGGTTTGAGGATAATTTCACCTTTCAAAAAAAAAAAAAAAAAAAAAAAAAAAAAACACATTTTAAAATTTATTTTTATGAGCCTGTAAAGCATTGCACCCGTGGTCAGCAAATTGCAGGTGCAATGTGAGGCTCCTGCAGACTGTTGGTGCATCTGTCTGCTTGTACCTCGTATGGGAAGGCAATTACACATTAACAGGAAGACTCAATGAACTACCTAGAATGCTCACTAACTCTGATAGTTCATTGAGAGCCACAAGCCATCAGCCGCAAAGGCTGTCGGTACTTGCAGCTCATTCATTCACTGATCTCTGAGAATGAATGATGTGTCCGTGTGGGAGGAGCTCCATACAGCCGCATTCCTTTCAAATTGTGACAGCGGGTGTAGGGAAAAGATCCCAGGCCTGCTGATACAATGAGGGGGAGGATCAACGAGAGGCTGCAGGAGTGGGAACATGTCACATGTTCCACCCTAAAAATGGGGTGTAACATATAATATGTTCCCAAACAGAATTTATCCTTTAACCTGCTTACAGCTGCTTTAGGTACCCACCCGTTTGAAGGAAACGTCTGCATAATTTCTTACACTCTTCTTCTGCAAGGATTTCAGCAGCATCTGTAAACAAGAACACAAACAGAAAAGTGTCTTTAGTCATTAAAATATCAAATACAGAGGAAAGACTAGAAAGTGTAAAGGATGCAATAAAGCATCTTGATGGAAATCTAGCACAATCAAGAGCTGTAAACCTTCCAATATACCAAGCTGCCATTTTTGCCAAAACATTTTTCTTTTGTCTTAGGGTGGGAATGGGCAGGAAGTGGTGGTGTAGACTAAAGCACGAGTGCATTTGTTTTGTGAAAAAAAGTAGAACCTATGACAATTTTTTTAGCTGTCTGTGCCTTCCTCTCCAGGTGACTAATGCACTTGCCATTTCTTGAAGCTTAACTCTAAGAATTACTTATATTGCACACTTCAGCTGGGTACACAAGGATCAAAATTAGACTGGTTCAGCAGGGACCTGCTGATTTTCAATCTGTGTAGCCCTCTCTGTTTGACAGAAGCCAATCATTAGATTGACGTCTGTCGAACGTACCAGCTGAGAAAACTTTCTTTGATCAGCAGTTTGCAGCCAATTTGCTGCAGCGCTTATCCACGTACTCTAAGAGCGAGTCCCTGCTGTCAGAATACAATATCCTGGCGGGGTTATTCCTTGGTTGTGTAGATGCAGGAACCTGCCTTCTGGCTGAAAAAAAAATAAACAAGCCGTGTGTGCCCAGTTTTACATTGGTCCAGCTTGCTGCAGTAAGTACACATATCTCATACCTCAGTGCAGGGATGAAAGTACAGGCTAGATGGCATCTGATTGGTCAGCACAGTCATGGTGCTGACCAATCAGATGTCGTTTAGCCCGTACTGTCATACCTGCAAGGAGAGGAGAGAAAGCCAAAAGGGATTTCAAATCCCCAGACCTCTCCTTGCAGAGATGACACTCGGAGAGGACACCGCAGGCTTGTGTTCCAGCCCCCCCTTCACAAGGAGTGTCTGTGCTGCTGGAAGGAGCTGGCTACAACAAGGGACATCATGTGGTGGCACAGCAAGACCATGCTGGCCAGGATCCAGTACCTGCACTCCAGCAACCTGCTCCTGGGTGAGCGAGTCAACCCCATCTCCTCCATACACCAGGCGAGTGTGAGGCGAGTGTGTAAAATCAGAATCCCCAGCCACAGGGAGGTGCTATGGCAAGCCTGGGCTCACACAGGAGCAGTGGGAAAACCACATGTGATTTGGACAGGAATCATACCGCATTCCTGTTCAAATCACATGCCATTCTTTGTTGTGCAATTTGCGTCCGTACATTTTGTATTGATGCAAATCACCCCGCAAAGTATCAGTACTCGATATCAGCGAGCATTTGACCGAAAGTAACGGTACTTGTACTCGCCGATCAAAAAAATTATATCGGCGCATCCCTAATATACAGGGCTCTCACCTCTGATCAAGTTATACTATAGATATACAGAGTGCAGGGTTCCAATCTCTGATCAGGACATACTGGTGATATACAGAGCTTTTGTCTCTGATTAGGTCATTCTGTAGATACAGTCAGGTCCATAAATATTGGGACATCGACACAATTCTAACATTTTTGGCTCTATACACCACCACAATGGATTTGAAATGAAATGAACAAGATGTGCTTTAACTGCAGACTGTCAGCTTTAATTTGAGGGTATTTACATCCAAATCAGGTGAACGGTGTAGGAATTACAACAGTTTGCATATGTGCCTCCCACTTGTTAAGGGACCCAAAGTAATGGAACAGAATAATAATCATAAATCAAACTTTCACTTTTTAATACTTGGTTGCAAATCCTTTGCAGTCAGTTACAGCCTAAAGTCTGTAGACATCACCAGACGCTGGGTTTCATCCCTGGTGATGCTGTGCCAGGCCTCTACTGCAACAGTCTTCAGTTCCTGCTTGTTCTTGGGGCATTTTCCCTTCAGTTTTGTCTTCAGCAAGTGAAATGCATGCTCAATCGGATTCAGGTCAGGTGATTGACTTGGCCATTGCATAACATTCCACTTCTTTCCCTTAAAAAACTCTTTGGTTGCTTTTGCAGTATGCTTTGGGTCATTGTCCATCTGCACTGTGAAGCGGCGTCCAATGAGTTCTGAAGCATTTGGCTGAATATGAGCAGATAATATGTCCAAAACACTTCAGAATTCATCCTGCTGCTTTTGTCAGCAGTCACATCATCAATAAATACAAGAGAACCATTTCCATTGGCAGCCATACATGCCCACGCCATGACACTACCACCACCATGCTTCACTGATGAGGTGGTATGCTTAGGATCATGAGCAGTTCCTTTCCTTCTCCATACTCTTCTCTTCCCATCACTCTGGTACAACGTTGATCTTGGTCTCATCTGTTCATAGGATGTTGTTCCAGAACTGTGAAGGCTTTTTTAGATGTCGTTTGGCAAACTCTAATCTGGCCTTCCTGTTTTTGAGGCTCACCAATGGTTTACATCTTGTGGTGAACCCTCTGTATTCACTCTGGTGAAGTCTTCTCTTGATTGTTGACTTTGAAACACATACACCTACCTCCTGGAGAGTGTTCTTGATCTGGCCAACTATTGTGAAGGGTGTTTTCTTTACCAGGGAAAGAATTATTCGGTCATCCACCACAGTTGTTTTCCGTGGTCTTCCTGGTCTTGTGGTGTTGCTGAGCTCACCGGTGCGTTCCTTCTTTTTAAGAATATTCCAAACAGTTGTTTTGGCCACACCTAATGTTTTTGCTATCTCTCTGATGGGTTTGTTTTGTTTTTTCAGCCTAATGATGGCTTGCGTCACTGATAGTGACAGCTCTTTGGATCTCATCTTGAGAGTTGACAGCAACAGATTCCAAATGCAAATAGCACACTTGAAATGAACTCTGGACCTTTTATCTGCTCATTGTACCCGAGATAATGAGGGAATAACGCACACCTGGCCATGGAACAGCTGAGAAGCCAATTGTCCCATTACTTATGGTCCCTTAACAAGTGGGAGGGACATATGCAAACTGTTGTAATTCCTACACCGTTCACCTGATTTGGATGTAAATACCCTCAAATTTAAGCTGACAGTCTGCAGTTAAAGCACATGTTGTTCTTTTCATTTCAAATCCATTGTGGTGGTGTATAGAGCCAAAAATGTTAGAATTGTGTCGATGTCCCAATATTTATGGACCTGACTGTATATGGAGTGGAGGGCTCTCACCTCTGATCAGGTCATACTATAGATATACAGGGCTCTCTCTGATCAGTACATACTGGAGATATACCTGGCTCTCACCTCTGTATAGGACCTACTATAGATATACAGGGCTCTTACCTCTGGACAGGACATACTGGACCGGAGATATACAGGGTGCAGGGCTCTCATCTCTGATCAGGCCATACTATATATATATATATATATATATATATATATATATATATATATATATATATACATACATATATATATATATACAGGGCTCTCACCTCTGATCGGGTCATATTATAGATGTACAGGATGCAGGGCTCTCACCTTTGATCAGGGCATACTATAAATATAGAAGGTGTAGAGCTCTCACCAATAAACAGGTTACACCATAGATATACAGGGCTCTCACCTCTGACCAGGACACACTGGAGGTATACAGAGCTCTCACTTCTAATCAGGTCATATTATAGATATACAGAGTGGAGGGCTATCACATCTGAACAGGATACATTATAGATCAGGGGTAGACAACCTTAAAGATGTGGAGATCTATCTGAACATGGGAGAAGTCAAAGATCACAGTGTTGCCTCCTCACACCTGATTTAAACCTCTAATTGCCAATACTACCATGTCACAATTGCGTGCATTGCACAGCAATCATGGGTTTAAAGTAGGTGATGAGGAGGCAACATATCACCTCCTCACCACATGTCAAACGTATTGGGATTGCTTTGCAGAGAAGCAGCAGTGCCTACTGCACCTGTGAATGAGCCCTTAGTTGTAATCAGCAGTGGAACCCTAAGGGCTTGTTCACATGTAAAGTTGGGGGGGGGGGTAAAAACCTTGTGGTTGAATCATGTGTTTACAGCTCACCCCCCCCCCCCCAATACACATGCCGCAACAGGAATTGCACCCCCTGTTGCTTTTGGTGGGTGCAATTCCTGCCTGTCAACCAAACCCCATTCAAGTAAATGGGCCACTCTGCAAGCGCCCCACAACTGCATGCTTCTGCAGGGTCCAAGGACTTAAAGCAGGTGGTGAGAATGCAACACACTGCTGCCTGTTTAACCCCTTGTTTGCTGTACTGCACAAGGTTGCAGGGCAATTGCAGAGCATCTTTCACTTGAATGGGTCAAGCTTGGCAGGTGCTACACCCACCAAACATGACAGGGCGTAGGAGCAGCACTACAGAGGAGACATCAACTTATGCAGCTCTTGCTCCCTACTACAGCTCCAACTTTACAAGTAGTCTCTCTGCACTGCATGAGGTTTGATGCTCCGGGATGGTGGGTCAGCAAGACCTCGGTCTACCAGTCACCTGGCCAAGATCTACTGGTAGCTGACCCCCGCTATAGATATACAGGGTTCTCACCTCAGTGGACAGGACATACTATAGATTCGCAGGACTCTCGCCTCTGCGCACGGGACACACTATACATATACAGGGCTCTCGCCTCTGTACACGGGACACACTATGCATATACGGGGCTCTCGCCTCTGTACACACTATGCATATACGGGGCTCTCGCCTCTGCGCACGAGACACACTATGCATATACAGGGCTCTCGCCTCTGCACACGGGACACACTATGCATATACAGGGCTCTCGCCTCTGTACACGGGACACACTATGCATATACAGGGCTCTCGCCTCTGTACACGGGACACACTATGCATATACAGGGCTCTCGCCTCTGTACACGGGACACACTATGCATATACAGGGCTCTCGCCTCTGTACACGGGACACACTATGCATATACAGGGCTCTCGCCTCTGTACACGGGACACACTATGCATATACAGGGCTCTCGCCTCTGTACACGGGACACACTATGCATATACAGGGCTCTCGCCTCTGTACACGGGACACAACTATGCATATACAGGGCTCTCGCCTCTGTACACGGGACACACTATGCATATACAGGGCTCTCGCCTCTGTACACGGGACACACTATGCATATACAGGGCTCTCGCCTCTGTACACGGGACACACTATGCATATACAGGGCTCTCGCCTCTGTACACGGGACACACTATGCATATACAGGGCTCTCGCCTCTGCACACGGGACACACTATGCATATACAGGGCTCTCGCCTCTGCACACGGGACACACTATGCATATACAGGGCTCTCGCCTCTGCACACGGGACACACTATGCATATACAGGGCTCTCGCCTCTGCACACGGGACACACTATGCATATACAGGGCTCTCGCCTCTGCACACGGGACACACTATGCATATACAGGGCTCTCGCCTCTGCACACGGGACACACTATGCATATACAGGGCTCTCGCCTCTGCACACGGGACACACTATACATATACAGGGCTCTCGCCTCTGCACACGGGACACACTAAACATATACAGGGCTCTCGCCTCTGTACACACTATACATATACAGGGCTCTCGCCTCTGTACACACTATACATATACAGGGCTCTCGCCTCTGTACACACTATACATATACAGGGCTCTCGCCTCTGTACACACACTATACATATACAGGGCTCTCGCCTCTGTACACGGGACACACTATGCATATACAGGGCTCTCGCCTCTGTACACGGGACACACTATGCATATACAGGACTCTCACCTCTGTACACAGGGGGACATACTATACATATACAGGGCTCTCACCTCTGTACACGGGACACACTATGCATATACAGGGCTCTCACCTCTGTACACGGGACATACTATGCATATACAGGGCTCTCACCTCTGTACACGGGACATACTATGCATATACAGGGCTCTCACCTCTGTACACGGGACATACTATGCATATACAGGGCTCTCACCTCTGCACACGGGACATACTATGCATATACAGGACTCTCACCTCTGCACACGGGACACACTATACATATACAGGGCTCTCACCTCTGCGCACGGGACACACTATACATATACAGGGCTCTCACCTCTGCGCACGGGACACACTATACATATACAGGGCTCTCACCTCTGCGCACGGGACACACACTATACATATACAGGACTCTCACCTCTGTACACGGGACACACTATACATATACAGGACTCTCACCTCTGTACACGGGACATACTATGCATATACAGGGCTCTCACCTCTGTACACGGGACATACTATACATATACAGGGCTCTCACCTCTGCGCATGGGACACACTATACATATACAGGACTCTCACCTCTGTACACGGGACACACTATACATATACAGGACTCTCACCTCTGCGCACAGGACACACTATACATATACAGGGCTCTCACCTCTGCGCACAGGACACACTATACATATACAGGACTCTCACCTCTGTACACGGGACATACTATACATATACAGGACTCTCACCTCTGTACACAGGACACACTATACATATACAGGGCTCTCACCTCTGCGCACAGGACACACTATACATATACAGGACTCTCACCTCTGAACAGATCATACCACACTTTCTTACACTTCTGGTGCTGAACTCCATTCAGGTGTTTCTTGCGGTTGTGCAGATTATCCTGGAAAGAGCGGTCACAATAGTCGCAGAAATACCTCTTCCCCATTACAGAGGTTCGTAGCTCCCCGGAAATTCACTTCCACAACACACACAAACCTTCTGCTCTCTCCTCCCAGCACCGAGGCAGGCAATACCAAAGTACGCACGCGCAATACCCTACCTCTCCAAAATGTGTGCGCCTGCCCGGGAAATAGCGTCTTTGATTGGCTAGTGGGCGGAGAATCTTTCCGGATAGAACGCTCAGTTTTAGTCACGTGAGGGAGAGCACACTTCCTGCTCAGAGGTCGCCAGGCATCATGGCTTTCGTGAACTTTGTGTACCGCTCGCTATTCCGCCGGACCTCCACCTTCACACTCACCATTGTGGTCGGGGCGTTGGTGTTCGAGAGGGCGTTCGACCAGGGGGCTGATGCGGTGTTCGATCACCTGAACCAAGGGGTGAGGACACAGGAGTGAAGGGGAGCTCAAGGGCACGGGCCAGGTGCAGAGTACAGGAGGCTCTCAGTGCCTGCCCATACATAGGGCTGTGGTTGAGGCGGTTCAGTGGAAGGTGAATGAACAGATCCGTCCAGTCCACCGCCATGAATACATAGAGTCGTGTCTGTGTGGAGGGTGCAGTGATCTCTTCCACTGGTTTATGGTTCATAGTAGGTATGATTGCATTGAACCGCTGATACCCCTTAGGCGGCATTCACACTTCAGCGTTTTCTCCAAAATGCAAACTTAATCATCAATTGTTCTCTATGCTGCCTGTTCACAACTGATCCTGCAAACAGACCCCATAGAGAACAACTGATTTTTTTTTAAGTTTAGTATTTTTTTGAGTTTCAAGCTACAGAACGCTCATGTGTGAATGCAGCCTGAAACCAGAAAATGAATATATTGCTGCTTAACAATCAGATGTACAGGCTGCATTTGTTTTCTTTTTTTACTTTATTTTCACTGGATGATCTGTCAGGTAGCAAACTTCCTGTATTAGGCCCCTTTTCACAGGAGTGGACGGGTGGGGTCCGCCTGTCCGTTATTCAGGCGGACTCGTTCAGTCCATCCATAGACTTCTGTGGTCCGACGGGCGTCAGCGGACAATAGTCTGCTGACACCTGCCAGCATCCAGTCCGATCCTATATGCCATGGACAGGCGGATGGATATCTGTTCCCCATCTGTCAGTCGGGTGGAAATGGACAGGTGGGCTGTTTCCAGCAGACTGTCCCATTGAAATCAGCAGGCTGTGTGTCTGCTCTGCAGCAGCAGAGTGCTGTCATCTAGATCAGTAGAGATATCCCCCACTGAGCAGGCGGATCACGCTGACAGATCCGCCCCGTCTGAAAGGAGCCTTAGGGGGCCCCCACTCTGGATGGAGGAGCAATGGAGATTATTTTCCCCCTTACAATAGTGAAATCACACAGCCGCATTTTTCAGGGTAGCCTTAGACTGACTTGTAGCTTTATATGGACTTTAAAGTGGATCTTGGATCTCCCCCCTTTTTTTTTTTTTTTTTTTTTTTTTTTTTTTTTTTTTTTTTTATGTAGGCCAAAGGGGAACTGGGGGCTGTCAAGCAGAGACACATATAAAGCACCAATATGAACAGGAAGCAGATTGAAGTGACCAGAATCGTATCTCCAATACGTCCTGACCAGATCTTGCACACTGAATCAGACAGTGGCCAGAAATTACATGCTTTTGAAAATGTAGAGAGCCCTGTCTCACCTACTTATTTGTGACTTCAGTCAGGTGGAAAATGGACAGGTGGGCCATTTCCATCTGACTGTCCCATTGAAATCAGAAAGTAGTGTCTGTGGCTGCTCTGCAGCAGAGCGGACAGAGACCTGTCATCTGGATCAACAGAGATATCCCCCGCCGAGCAGGCCCGCCCCGTCTGAAAGGGGCCTTAGGGTGTCCCCACTCTTGATGGAGGAGCAGTGGAGACCCCTTTGTACAGAAGCATTTTCTGTCTGGGGGAGGGGGAGTGTTAAATGCAAAATCAAACACGATATATAGCATGCAGTCTGTCTGCAGTATTATCACAGCAAGCTTTGTTTTTCTGTGTAAAGCCTGTAGCACAGTGTACCTGTTTATTTTGACAGAAAATGTGTTCTTTTCCCCCTTACAATAGTGAAATCACACAGCCGCGTTTTTCAGGGTAGCCTTAGACTGACTTGTAGCTTTATATGGACTTTAAAGTGGATCTTGGATCTCCCTCCTTTTTTTTTTTTGTAGGCCAAAGGAGAACTGGGGGCTGTCAAGTAGGGACGTTATAGCATAACTATCCCCAAATACCAACATTTCCTGAAAGAGTATTGGATGCATAGAAGAAGCTTCTAGTAGAGGTGGCCAGTCAGCAGTAAGTACTTACAAACCCCTGGCAAAAAGTATGAAATCACCACTCTTGGAAAATGTTCATTCAATTGTTTTATTACGTAGAAAAAAACAAAAACAAATCACAGACATGCCTCAAAACAATTTTCATTTAACATTATAACCTTCTGGCTTTGAGAAACCATAAAAAAAAAAAAAAGAAAATTGCAACTGTTTTTGCAGATCAAGCAGAGGAAAAAAAAATTTGGAATAACTCAATTCTGAGGAAAATATGGAATCACCATGTATTTTGCATTTTTAAAACAAACATCTGCATCAGTTAACGTTTGCTAATCAGTCTACAGGTAAAAAAGAGTGCTTGCACACCTTGCTGAGTTGTTGCACCAAGCTGATTGACATGAATCATAGCTCCAACATGACAGATGTTAGTTGAAACAAAGGACAGGATTATAAAACTTCAAGAAGGTAAATCATCACGGAATGTTGCAAAAGATGTTGGTTGTTCTAGTCAGCTGTGTCTAAAATGTAGACCAAGTACAAATGAAATGGGAAGGTTGTAAAAGGGAAGCGTACTGGTAGACCAAGGAAGACATCAAAGTGTCAAGATAGAAAACTTAAAGCATTATGCCTTGAAAACAGAAAATGCACAACAGAACAAATGAGGAACAAATGGGCAGAAACTGGAGTCAATGTCTATGACTGAACAGTGAGACATTGCCTAAAGGAAATGGAATTTACATACAGAAAAGCCAAACAAAAACCATCATTAACACCTAAACAGCAAAAAGGTAATAGTAGGCTAAAGAAAAGCAATCCTAGACTGGATGAAAGTGATATTCAGTGATGAATCTGCATTGGGCAGGGTGATGATGGTGGAACTTTTGTTTGGTGCCATTCCCATGAAATGTATAAAGACAACTGCCTGTAGAAAACATGCAAATGTCCACAATCATTGATGATATGGGGTTGCATGTCAGGTAAAGGTACGGGGGAGAAGTAATTAAATCTCCAATAAATGCACAAGTTTATATTGAGTTTTTGGACACTTTTCTTATTCCGTCAATTGAAAGGATGTGTGGTGATGAGGACATAATTTTTTCAGGATGATAATACAGTTTGCCATAGGGCAAAAAGCAGTGAACACTTTTCTTCAAAAAAGACCTATAATGTCAGTGGCATGGCCTGCAAATAGTCCGGACCTCAATCCAATTGAAAATCTGTGTTGAAAATGACAAGACTCTAACCCGCAAAACTGATCTGGCAACTGCAGTGAGAGAAAGTTGAAGCCGGATTAATGAAGAATACTGTTTGTCGATAGTTAAATCCATGCCTCAGAGAATTCAATCTGTTACAAAAGCCAAAGGTGGTGCAACAAAGCACTAATGTACTGTAGTGTTTTTTTTTTTTTTTTTTCTTGGTTCCATATTTTACTCAGAATTGAGTGATTCCATATTTGTTTTCCTCTGCTGGATCTGCAAAAACAGTTGCAACTGACTAGTTTTTTTTCTTTTTATATTTTTTTTTTTAAGTGTTTCTTAAAGCCAGAAGGGTGGAATGTTAAATTAAAATAGTTTTGAGGCATGTCTGTGAGTAGGGTTTTTATTTTGTTTTTTTTTTTTTCTTCTACACAAACAATTGAACTTTTTCCAAGAATGGTGATTCTGTACTTTTTGACGGGTTGTATGACCTCTTGAAGCAGAGCCAAACCCTCCTGTCCTTTACAGCAAAGGAAGCTGCCATCTCAACCGTGGTAGTTCATTGAGGACTTCAAGCTGTGACAGCCTCTTAAGGCTATCGGGACTTGTAGTGTCTCATTCACAGATTACTGTGGATGAGTGACGTGGGCAGAGCCCCGAACGGTCACTTTTTTTTTTTTTTTTTTTTTTTTTTTTTGACAGCTAGCGGGAGGGGGGCGGGGGGAGAGATCCCCTGCTAGCTGTCAAAGCGCAGATGAGGGGGGAGCGGTCTGATCATAACATGTTACACCCTGAATATGAATGTTACATGTTACGAAAGGTGCACTTATCCTTTAATGCATTCTATGCATTAATGTAAAATGCCTTTCAGTAGCTGTTTCACCACCTCCCCCATAATACTTACCAGAATCCTGTATCAATCCAGTGCTGGGCTCATTGGCAGGTCTTCTCTCCCCTCTCCTTTCTCTCCCCTCTCCTTTCTCTCCCCTCTCCTTTCTCTCCCCTCTCCTTTCTCTCCCCTCTCCTTTCTCTCCCCTCTCCTTTCTCTCCCTCTCCTTTCTCTCCCTTCTCTCCCCTCTCCTTTCTCTCCCCTCTCCTTTCTCTCCCAGGCTTGGCTGAGAGCAGCAGGAACCATCGGCTCCTGCGCTGTCAGTCATATTCTTTGAGGCAGGGGGTGGGGCTGAGCCGATCTTTGTGTGTGTCTATGGACGCACACAGCCTGGCTCAAGTGTGAATCTGCACATGTGCCACCATAGGAAGCGGAACTTCCAGAATTGGAGGTTCAAGGCAGCTCTGTTCAATACTATTGCACAGAGCAGGTAAGTATAACACGGTTTTTATTTTAGTATTTAAAAAATGTATGTTTACAACCACTTCATTTAACATAAGCAGACTAGTAAAGGCTCTTGCACATGGGAGAAAAAAAAATATATTTCTACTTATCTGGATATAGATGCATTGTTGTCTATGGAACAATGCACACAGCTGTATAAAGATCACTAGTATGCTTGAGTTCAGTAATTTATGCACATACTTGTTTTACACATCTATAATCATGTTTACATGCATAAAGAATTTTATGCGTATATGTGTATGTGTCTTTGTGCAAGATCTTTACAGAACATGTTACTCAGGATATATCGTTCGAGATTTTGCATATAAACATCAGTAGTTTATTACACCAGGGTGCAACTGGCCTAACTGTAACAGTTCACATTCAAGCTGTGCCTTGAAGTTAACTGTTTTGAAAAAAAATGTTTAAATCTGTGGATTTAGTTCTGCTTTAAAGATTTCTGAAAGATGGGCTTTCCTGATCATGTGATGACTGGTTGGCTGTCACATAAGGAGTCTCCCCCACCAGTTCCCATTTGTTAAATGGGTGACATCTTGGCCATTGTGATGGGAGAATGCCCGACCCGGTGCCGTCACTCCGGACGGCCGGC